CCCTCTCTCGCTCTCTTTCCACCGTCGCACCATCCCACGGCGGGGGAACTGGTGGCGGATCGCCGGCTGATGTAGTCACGTGGCTGAGCGCGGCGTTGACGAACCAGGACACATGCTCGGAGGGATTCGACGGACTTAACGGAGCTGTTAAGAATCAGATGACGGAGAGGTTGAAGGATTTGACGGAGCTGGTCAGTAATTGTTTGGCAATATTCTCATCGGCAAATGGAGACGAGTTCTCAGGAGTGCCGGTACAGAATAAGAGGAGACTACTGACGGAGAATGAAGACATATCGTATGAGGAGAATTTCCCGAGATGGTTAGGGAGGAGGGACAGGAAATTACTGGATGTGCCAGTACCGGCGATACATGCCGATATTATCGTGTCAGGAGATGGAAATGGAACGTGCAAGACAATAGCCGAGGCGATAAAAAAGGCGCCCGAGTATAGTAATCGGCGAACTGTAATTTACGTGAGGGCAGGAAGGTAAAGTTTGGTAAAAAATTAACCACTTTTCAAAAGTTCCTCGGCTTTTGGTTCGTATTATTATTTTTTACCGTTGCTTTTTTATGATTGAAGGACATAAATACCCCTACAATTTTGGGGGAACAGTTTTTTTTTTTTTAAAAAAAAGAAACCCGCAATCATGCATTAACCTATGATTATGTGAAAAAATATCATTGATGAGTGTTTGCCCTTTTCATGATTTTTCTTTTTCAGAGAAATGATTTCATGCATTGTTTCATAATCTTTGTGATCTGATAATTGAAACCTTAATCTATTGAGTAAGATGTGAAAAGTTTTTTTTTTTTTTTTTCTCAGGTACGAAGAGAATAACTTGAAAGTTGGGAGGAAGAAATGGAATTTAATGTTCATCGGAGATGGGAAGGGAAAGACTGTAATCTCAGGAGGCAAAAGTGTTTTTAACAACCTCACCACATTCCATACAGCATCCTTTGGTAAACCCTCTTTTTCATTACCTTCTCTTTTAATCTAGAATTGTTTTAAATTAGACCCTGCGGTGCAAACCGCGTCTCACGTGAAAAAGTTTGCACCAAGTATTATGTTGAAACGCGTTTTTTTCATGTGAAACACAGTTTGGACAGCGCAAGCTTTTGTGTTTACTTAGGGGGGCTTGCATTTACCTCTTGGCTTTTGGCTGAAAAGAATAGCTGTGGGTCATAAACTAGTTGTCCAAGTGGCACGTGAAAGCCCTTTTTTTTATATATGCTCTTGACAATGCTTGCAGATCAGAGTCCTTTTTATTCCATTTTTTAACAGATGATAAAGTGAAAGAAATTGGCCTTTTTTAAGCTTTTGTGACATCAACACCAGTAGTAAGTTCTTTTGCCGAGAAAACAAAGAGAGGATAAAAGTTCATCTATCTTTTTTTTATTTGTTAATTCTAGTTTCTTTGACTGCTAGAGCATCCGATGCGATCCCTTGTAGCCAGAATATTTACCTTGGAGAAATAAGTTTTAATCTCCTGCAATTAGGTTCACCTTTTGCAATTGCCTCGGCTATACACTTCCCTTGCAACTAGCGTTGTTAACCCTGGTCTGGTTTTTAACCTGGTTCAAGATTCAAGTCAAACCGAGTTGATCTAGGATAATCTAAGGTTTTTTTTTTAAAAATCAAACCGGGTCTTATTTGGTCTTGACCAGTGAACTCCCACTTGACTCGGCATGAAATCCAGTGTGGAATCGATCCTCAAACAACAGATTGATATGTTGGATCGGAATAATTCTGTCTAGCACTTGCCTTTCAGTGGGTCCATTTGCATGTGTAGACCATTATTTTTATACTATAGATTAAATTAGTGGAATTTACATGGATTAACAGAAGTACAGATGAATGGACAAAGGAGCTTTAATTTGATTGGAAGTTTTACCTGTGATATTGAGCTAGAGCTTTTCCACTTCGAAAGTTGATTTTTAGCAGACTAATAGTTCAATATTTTTTCAAAATAAAATAAAATATCAGAACTTGACGGTTCATTCCAGCTGCAAGATCATGGACACGACTCTCTGTTTATTTTAAATATTAATAGCTCCTCATGCATAATATTGACCAAATTCAACTAATGGATACAATTTAAAGGGAAGAGTAGTGTCATATTGTTGGTGGTGGGTCATGAGCATCACATGTTTAAGAGATAAGCTCGGCAGTGACATCGAATGTATCAATCTTTGATCATTAGATAATGAAGGCAAAGAGTAATCACACAGTGGTTTCGCCATTTTCTTCTCTATACATCCTTCTTAAGATATGCTGGTTTATCTTATTATTCCTTGTCTGTTTCACCTCTACAGCTGCAACAGGAGCTGGTTTTATTGCTCGAGACATGACATTTGAGAATTGGGCGGGTCCAGCCAAGCACCAAGCAGTGGCTCTTCGAGTCGGTGCAGACCATGCTGTGGTCTACAGGTGCAACATCATTGGCTACCAGGACACCCTTTATGTGCATTCAAATCGCCAATTCTTCAGGGAATGTGACATCTATGGAACTGTAGATTTCATATTCGGCAACGCTGCAGTTGTGTTTCAGAACTGTAGCATATACGCCAGGAAACCGATGGCCTTCCAAAAAAACACAATCACTGCCCAAAATCGGAAGGACCCTAATCAAAATACAGGCATATCAATCCATGCTTGTAGGATCCTTGCCACTTCGGACCTCACACCGTTGAAAGGCAGCTTCCCGACATTTCTTGGCCGTCCATGGAAACTGTACTCTAGAACTGTGTACATGTTATCATACATAGGCGATCATGTTCATCCAAGAGGGTGGCTAGAGTGGAACACAACATTTGCACTCGACACATTATACTATGGTGAATACATGAATTACGGACCTGGTGGGGCGGTCGGGCAAAGGGTTAAATGGCCTGGGTACCGGGTTGTTACATCGACCATCGAGGCTAGTAAATTCACAGTGGCACAGTTCATTTATGGATCATCTTGGTTGCCTTCTACCGGGGTGTCATTTTTAGCTGGTCTCTCACTTTAAATGACATTACTGTATCATATATGCAAGTGTTTTTGAATTGCCATAAAATGGGTATAGGCTTTTTCTACTCTAATTAATTGCGCAATTGTACGCCTGCAAGTGTTAGTTTCTCTGTTCTATTTTTTCTTCTTTTTTTTAGTGTAATAACCATTTCAACAGCCTATAATGTTCCTTTCTTTACAGTTGTAACTTGTTGTTCTAAGTGCTATATAGAAAGTCAATGATTAAATGCTCTCTCTCTTCTAGCTTTTCAAGATCACGGAGTTCTCTACAAGCCTTTATTTTCTCTCTTCTAGGTAAATCTTTTGCTTTTTTCTAAATCTGACAACATTTTCAGAATTGTAAACTCGTGTTTCCAAGTAAGAACCCCAAGTCTTAACCATGGCGGGGGCAAGGGCATAATTTCTGAAGGCATGAATGGAAATACGTGGGACAAGAACAAGATAATGAATGATTTATTATTTGACCCTTTGACAAGGGTTTCTTGTGCCTGGTGGGTTGGTGGCAGTGCCTTGACTCTTTTTACCACTTGGGAGGACGTGAGGCTGGGATCTATATACTGAATCTACTGGTGGCGCCGTGGCGGTCACAAATATGAATGCGCAAACCTACTCACATTATTATTGCCTTGTGGTCATCAAGAATAAGCCCAAGTACACATGCAAGACGAGGCACACAGGTTCCAACCCAAAACCTGCCCTACCACCGACACCACTGGGGTCTGGGTGGTGGACTGGTGCATGATCATCATCCTGGTGGGTTCAAAAATCAGGTGACTCATTAACAATGTCCTTGACAAGTTGAGCTTGCGAGATGGCCCATTTCCTTTGTTTTTTAATTCTTGTTTGCCTTTCCTGTCCTAAGTCTTAAGAGAGATGCCATCCTGTTGTTCTTGCCTTCCTTTACGACACTATTTGGATTTTGTGACCCGACTAACGCACTATGAAACTGTTCTGATATATTCACAGCTTGAGGAATTCTTGAACCCTCAGATTGTACAAACAACATGCAAATCAAAGAACCATCATACTTTTCCTTCAAACCGGTTTGATCCAATGGGTTATTCAAACCAGTCCAATAAGTTGACTCGATTATCTGTGATGTTCATGTACATCTAGCAAACTCCACCCAGACAACTTCAAGAAATAATAATTTAAAAAAATAAATACAGAAATGTTGTTTGTTTTTAAAATATTATCAATTCAAGTTGACCCCCTAATCAAACCAAATAAAATCTCAACCTAAATTTGACAGCTATAACCATGAACTAACTCAACTTCTCTTATATTGCTGTTTAGTGTGCACTAGTTAGAAAAATAAAACTATATTAAGTTCAATTCCATGATTAGATTTACGCATACATTTTATGGACTAGTTTAGTCCCATCTCATCTTTAAGTGTATTTGGTATTTCAGCAAAAACATTGTCTGTGCTGAAATTAAAAATAAAATTTTAAAAATAAAAAATATTAAACTTGACCAATGTATTTTTTTTTGTTTCACCCATTATTATAAAACTTGACTCTTTTAAAAAATGAGAGAGAGTTAATTCAATTAAACTCAGCCTATTAAACAAGTGAATCCGCCCATGACTTCAAGAAAAAATGAAACAAAAATCATTTCAACTCATTAAAAACCGAGACAACGATGAAAAATGTGGTTAAGACTGGACAGATAGCATTCACGTCAAGAGTGCGGAGTAGGGTTTTGGCTTTATGTTGTTAGTCAACAAACCTACACGCTGGACCATTTGGGTCTGCTCTCTTGTGCGTATATATGTTAGCATGGCAGGTGGGGACATTGCCAGGCCAGCTGTGATTGGATGGTCTTATCCTGTCAGGTTGCCCACTATCCTTGAACAATCTACCCAACGCCAAAAAACAAGAGCTGATCCCTTTTTACCTTATCCGTATCACTGCAACCATCTGTCTAGGAATTTACTGAAAGAGTCCGTGCCTGAAGTGATGATAACCCAACACGACAAATTCTAAAGGTGAAACGAAATCAACAAAGACATATTTTAAAGGTTAATTGTTGAGAGCAATTTTCAATCGATGGAGGGCGTAAAGGACAATAACAAGAGAAGAGATGGGGCCCACAAGTTCCGGCAACCAGTCGCGGATGGCCCAGGACCACAGACCAGTAAAATATGGTAAAGGTCCCATCATTCATACTCCATGCATGGGCATGATAGCTAATGCACATAAGTAACATATCTACAAGTTATATTCTGCACTCACGAGGACAGCTTATCAAGATGACGATCCATGATTAGTGATACAGCTTCAAGGAAGGTAGCCTCACCGCTTCCTGGGAGAACAGAATCCTGAGCTTCTTGCACAATCTGCTCAATCACAGATTCCTTCCTCACTGTTTCTCTGCACATGATGCTTCCAATGGCAAAGGGAGTAAGACCTCTCTCTGCACCTTTCTTCAGGAGCATTGTGGAGATACAGAGGGTGCGAGCACACTCAGGTGGCATATCCCACCCGTGAAACCTGAGAAGTGCAATATCCTGCTCAGCATCCAGAGCCTTGATGTACTCAACAGAGTCATGAGAGTACGGTTGTTGAGCTTGAGGCCAGTAAAGCCAGTCAAATGTGCAATCCTCAAACTGCAGTGAAATGAAGCAAATTTGAGAAGTAATAAAAATGAACTTGAAAGCACTAACAATTAAGTTGAGATATTAGAGTGCGGAAAGCATGCCAGGCAGTACATCTGACGAACTAAGCAGTTTATCTTTCTTAAAAAGAAAATCTGATCAATAACCTTTTGGCCAAGCGATGCCCAAATTTGAAAAGCAAGTCATAGAGGAACACTAGTGATAAATTAATGTAGTTTGCAACCAGTTCATTCCTCAACAGTCAGAAGCGCTAAAGACGACAGAGTTACAAGATAAAAAAACGGTAGATGTGCAAGTAAATTGTTAAATGGAAACTGCAGGAATTTACATAAGAAAACAATTTATGAGAGAAAAAAATGAAAAGTATCACAAGCATATTTTCCCTCAAAATCAACGAGAGCTGAAGGCTGTTAAACATGCACAGTGCACATAAGAAATCAAGAGAAGCAGAATTAACACCAACGCACATCAACAATAACATAAAGTGGCAAAACAGAATGGAACAGTTAAAAACAACAAGACAGGAAGAAAGGTAAAACTTACATTTGTAGGAAAGCAGTAGCCATGATCAATTGGAATAAGCACAATCTGGCCATGTTCACTATCTTTACTGACCAATATGTTCCCACCATGCCTATCTGCATTAGCCAATCTAATGTCCAACACAGAGATTTTGTGCACCTCAGCAACAGGGAAAGAACTAGGGCCCCTATCTTCACAACTTCCATCATTCTCCATGAACATCTGCAATGAACCAATTTTGATATTCTTGGAATCAAATTCATAACCATTGGGATGATTGAATCCTCTGTGGAGGCACTTGACCATTGCTGTGGGTGGAACCCCAGCAAAGCCTCTCTCCTCACCAGAAAATGAGCGGGGTCCGCTCTTTGGATGATCCAAGATGTAAGCTGCAACTTCCCTCAGTGCACCTTCTCCTACTCTTGTGCCTTTCTTCAATCCCTCACCATCAATTGACAAGGGTAGCCCATGAGGATTATTTACAGCCATTGGCTCCTCATCAATTGGTTTAAAGATAGAAACATATTTCTGACCAGATGAATCTTGCATGAAATAAGCTCCCCCAGATCCCTCAGAAGATCGAATCGGTTCATTGCCCCTATCCAACCCATTGAAAGTAGACTTGAATAGCTCTCTGATAACTAATGGCAGTTGGATTTTGGAATTGACAATTAGAGGTTCCAGAAGGAATTCTCGTAATAGTGGTTTCCTCTCTATAACCCTACATCCCATAGATAAAGCACCCTGTTGGTGCTCTCCTACAGAGTCAGCTTTCTTCTCATTCAAATCCAATGCCTCAATAGACAATTCAAAATCTTTCTCAACAGGTTTTCCCCTTACTTTGGCTGATTTGCAGATGAGCAGGTGAATCACAGCATCATTACTTTTGCAAATATCAGTAATGAGCCTCTGGTCTTCAAGCTCCTCACCATCACATACCAGTTCTTGATCAACAAGATCTAAACCTTTCCCTCTCTTAGCTATCTGCTTCTTAACATAGCCTACACTTCTACCCCTATCAACACGAAACTCGTACACTTTCCCACAAACAGTCCCTACTGTTATAGCTTGGAGATTTGAAAACCTGACCACCAAATGCAGTACTTTTCCATCTGCAACACCATAATCTCTCACTTGAGAATTGCCTCGTGCTAGTTCCCTCCCCTCAAAAACCAATTTTTGCTTCTTCACAGAAAAACCTTTGGAAGCTTGAATCCTCAGCTTCACCGAAGCAATCGAATCTGACTCCATAGCTTGCAATGGAATGATTGATCTCCCAACAACAAGAAAAATTACAATAGAGTCACTAGAGTGCAGACCACACAGCCAAGGGAAATTGCGATGAGAATCGAAAGACTCATCATGCACAGGACTAAGAGCTACACTAGCCATCGACATTGTTAATCTTATCAATCTAAATCCTGGCTTCTTACACTAATATAAAGCACCAAAATCCTAAATTCTATAAGAAACCCCAAATTCATTCAAAATGTCCAAACCAAGCGTAAATCCAAGAACCAAAACCCCCATGCTTCCACTAAAATCTGGGCAGACACGCATCAAAACCCAAAGAAACACTCCAAAAGTACTCACGCTAAAGGTTTTGATAGGGTGGACCTATCACAGGATTCTTTTCCTATGAAAGATCAAAACTTTCACCAATCGCTCCAATGTATCTCTGCAAGAAACAACAACATCTCCAATCAGAAACTAAAAATTCTTACATCCTCATCAAATCCTAAAAACCCTAACTAATTAGCTCCATTCAAATAGCAATATCAAATCCTATATATATAAAATGAATCTTTAGTTTCTCAATTTCCTAATTTTTGAATCATGAATCAAAGAATAACCTTAGCAATCAAAATAAAAAATTAAACAAAAGAACAAAAAAATAAAAAACTGAATCTTTATTTTCTCAATTTCCTAATAACCTAAACAGTCAAATGCGGATGAATTAGTTAAATTTGTCAAATCTTGATATTCGATTTTCTTTAATTTCTTTCACTTGCATTTTCTCAGTAACCAAACAGGTAATTCAAAACACGATCATAACATAACAAGATCAATTCAGAACTCATTTTCCATTCCTAATTCGTTCATTTTCTTCACAGTTTCTCAGTAACCAAAAAAAACCTAATAAACATACAAAAATCGAATCGGAATTCATAAAAAAAAATCCAAAAATCAAATAAGAAATTCAAAAAATATTACCTGAAGAAGCTGAAATCGAAGTGAGATGACGAGGATCAGAGGAAGGAGAAAAGGAGAAATTTAATTTTTTTTAATTTTTTTCGCGTCATTTTCTCGTCTCTTGATTTTGAAAATTAAATCCTCCTTTTTCCTTTCAATTAAGTTGCTCTCCGCGCTTTCGTTCTTCAGAAACTTTCTAGAGACACAGAGGTAAACTATCGGAGAAGTGTAATTTATTTATAGTGAAGACGTTGGCTTGTGACGAAAGTTTAAGGAAGTTAACGGAGTTAACAATCTTTGGAGATGTGTAAGTTATTTATAGTGAAGACGGTGGCTTGTGACGAAAGTTTAAGGAAGTTAACGGAGTTAACGTTTTAAATTAAATGTACTAATTGATTTGTACTTTATTTTTTAAATTTGATTAGCTGGAATTTGTCCCCTAGAATTCATCATGATTTTAATTTTGGATTATGGTCGGTAAAAAGGATTTGATTGAAGAGATTAATTCCAACTAAAAAATAAAATAAGCTAGGAGTGGTGATAATGCGAAAATGAATCGGCCAAGAAAATAATTCTGATTTTTTTTCCTGTGTTTATAGATATTTTACTTTTTATTATCTGCAAGATACTTGAAATATATCTCATCCGTGAAATGAATTTATAAATAAATTAATTTAGGATTTGTTTTTGCTATCATAAGAAACTTATTATATAAATAAATAAATTTTAAATTTATAATAATCTTAGTTAGTTTGCATATTAGTCAATTAATATTGAGATTAAAAATTAATTAAACTCTTACATGGAGTAATACTTAATCGTTAATCTCTCTTCTAGTATAAAGAGTTTAAATAAGATTTCAAATCTTTTTATTTGTTTCAACTTACAAGTTTTTAGAATTATGTTTCATAAAAATTTAAAAATAAATATTTATTTTAATATACTGATATCATGTAAACCCTCTTAGTTTGGGACATGTTTTATTTTAAATATGTTTTTTAATTAAAATAATATTATTTAAAAGAAAACTTTAAAATGGTATTATTTTATTTTTCTTTAAATAATTTTAACTTAATCTTTGAATTGGATATTATAATTATACTAAACCCATCTCCATTTATTTATTTATTTATTTTCTTATAAGAAATTTACAAGTAATTCAAAGCTAGTGGACTTCAAAGCCAAACCATTGAGTAGAGTATTTAATTACTCGTCCCTACATGTTTAAGAGCACAATTTTCTACTCAATAACGAGGGCTATTATGGTAATTAACTAGGAAAACGCTGGAAGCTGGCTGATATTGAAGGCAAGGACCCACGCCGTTAAACTTGACGGGAAATGGCGTGTCTTTGAATCCAACTTGGTGTCCAAGATTTTTTTAGCGGATTGATACAAACAGTCATCATCTAGTGTGTAAATTAGACGGCTTACACGTCGATTACCCAATGAAAACTTGCCACCTCAGAGTCATGACTCTATTAGATATCTTCGGAGAAGTCATTTGTTTTGGTCGACGGAGTTTTTGTTATCGTAATATCATAATTACATTACCAAGAGTGATTCAGGGCGGTGCTCTTTAGGATAAAACTTGTTGCCTTTTATATTTCATACCAAAAATGATTTGAAAAATATTTTGAAAAATAAAAATTATTATAATATTAAACAGGCATTAAATCTCTCGAGTTTAGATTTTTTTTTTCATCATTAAAGAACATATTGATCATGAAAATTTTAAAAAATATCTTGAGTTTAAATTATTTTTTTCATAATTAAACAGAAAAAAATATGGAATCAAATTATATATTTAAGATGTGGTTGATACACTTCTTCTCTTGCAATTAATGTATATGATATAGTTTGTGAAATTATATAATTGATAAAACTTTGGTGTCAAAACATTTGGGATGCACTAATTATAATTGCTAAGAAATTAATGGGGCATTAGAGATTAAATGGTTTGCTCTAAGGTGGGGGATTTTAGATTACTTAGTAACTATTAGTGATTACTTCATAAGAAACGGGAAGATGGTGAATTAACTAGCATGTTAAGCAATTAACATAAGAGGCAAGCTTTTACTCCCTCTTTTTTCAATATAAACATCTATAATAATAATAATAATAATAATAATAATATGGTTTTGTTTGGTTTATAAGTTAAACACAAGGGTAAACTTCTTATCAACCTTCTGCCTAGACCAGAATTAAATTCCATGCCATCCAATATATCTCACCCTTCTAAGACACTTGATTGCTAAAAGAACATTGCGTACTGATGAGTAAATATGTTTTCTTATAGATTTTTTTATAAATATAAATTTTTTCATAAATAAAATAGCTTTGATAAACATTTCATATCCAAAACAGTGTAGATTTAAAAAATAAATCAAACCCAAATAATTTAGGTTTAATAATTAGCCAAGTCTAGAATAAAATAGATTTTGCAAACTTGTCAAACCTAAAAAACCTAGCTAGATATATCAATCAATCAAATATGACTGACCCAAAATTTTTAAATTTAACTATTACTAAATTTTAATGTTATATACTAAACTAAAAATATTGAAGACATGATAAACCATCATATCTCTCAATCTAAGATAATTATGTGAGTTATTTATATTTAATATAATGATTTTTCAATACTCATAAGTGTATACAAAATTTATTAAGAGATTTACCATATTTATTATCTTATTAATGATATGTATGAAATATTTGCTCTTTATTGATGTCGTAGATATCCCTGAATCATTCAGGTAAGGATTCAGAATTTTTTATTTCTTAAGATAAACTTATATATATTTCAGAGTATTAATCATTTTAAAACTTAAAAATAAATATTTTTTTTTAATTTAAAATTCTTTATTGTCTGTCTCATAAATATATTAATTTTATCATCAGATAAGTCATTTATTATCTATCTCATAAATATATTAATTTTATCATCAGAAAGCTTTCAAGTCTTCCAAATTGAAATATTTTTTAGCCTAAACAACATAAGTATTTAAATATATTAATCAAACACTAAACATATTATTTACATATCTTAGATTTTAAGACTACATCACTAACCCATCCCCCAATCCTCAACTACGCTCCGGCAATATGTTCTCCAATAGAACACTAGAGTTCAAATAACAGGATCCACCCTCCTCCGAACCCTACTATAACCAGAATCATTATCAGAATCAGAACTCGGAAAACGATAGAAAAGACCCATTCTCACCCTCTTATAATCATTTATCTCACAGCTACACCCGAACCCTTCTGACAAAATACGCACGCGCCTGTTGGGGCAATTTGATTCGCTTGATCCATCTGGTAGCAGGTTCCACAGCACATACTCCAAGTCCTTGTAGCATAAAATTTTTATACAAATCAAACCGCCACAAGAACCTGCCATGGATTTGTCAAGTAATTTTTTCTCTGAACGCGGCACTGTCCTTCATGCATCGTGGAATTCGAACAGGATGGGAAGTTATGGTTTCTGTGTGGCGGAGAAACGATACTTGAGGGGATTAATTCTTATGGGAATCTGCAGTGAATATAAAAGAGAGGGGCGTTTGGTGGAAAGGTCTTGATGGGCGATTATAAATTTAGGTTTCGTGATGAGAGAAAGCCAGTGTCTGGATACAAACTCGAATCCGATAAAGGACTTGACAGGCAATCTTGACAGAATGCGATCGTATATATATAAATTTACTTATCTTACGGCAAGAGATAATGGAAAACCATTACTTTCAATTTCCTTTTTCCATGGCGTTTGCTAGGATAGATTTCCAGAAGATTTCATGGGAAAGAGGAGGCAATAGATGTAGGATTGAAGGGCCAGAATTTATGTATCATGCCCTAGGGCTCAACTAAGATTTATAAATGCTATATAGTGGACGGTGTCTCAATTCACACATATATCAAAAATGACTTTTATTGAGAAAATATAGTGGACGGTGTCTCAATTCACATATATATCAAAAATGACTTTTATTGAGAAAAAAACATTGTAGTTGAAATTTAAGATTTAAAAGTACTTTAGCTAACCAAGAAAATAGTGCAGAATCCATCACAGTGGCTACGAATTCCAAGTGGAATTATCAATTTTCCACTGAGCACAGATATCAGCAGAATTAATCTCTACAGATGGAGGGTTTTTCTTTCTAGGGAAAATCGAGGGAAAATATAAAAAAAGAGAGATACCTTAGCGTTGATGCAAGGCTAGGCCCTTGACCTACCTTCCCCTTAAAGGAAGACTGTATCGCAAAATATTGTAATCTGCAAAAGGTAAAGAGTCTTGATTGTAACTCAGAGAGGGGCATCCTCCAGCATAAGATTGGATGTTCCATCAACTGAAGCTAGAGTCTCCGCATAATCATAAACTCCAGAACTTGATATTGGAACATCAATGACTTCTTGGCTAATTGGATCATACAAGAAAAAACCATCTTTTTCATTCGGACTCTTCAGGATTATTTTGCCTCTCCATGCCGATATTGGCCATCCAATTCTTGGCATTGACCCAACAGTAAGCAACTTACTCCAGCACTTGATATTACCACCAATATTCCTACTCTCATTCAGCACCCATAGATCAAAACCTGAGTTTGAACTACCTTCGAGAAATAGAAAGAGTCCGAGTGAATCCTTGAATCCAGTGATAGTCATCGAATAGTTCGGACTCGATTGATTCAAACCCGGCAGCTCTATCCTTCTAAACACATCAGTGTCAGAATCAAATGCAAGGACTACTTCGTTGGCCAAATTTACTACTCCACTTACCTTCCAATACAAGTCACCCTTCACAGCAACAGCATCGCTAAAGCGACCGCCAAGCAGCGCACCATCTTCAACTGTTCTCCAAGAATCTGTTTTCCAAGAGTACACCAAAGCTCGAACAACAGAATCCACTCGCCTTCGATCGTAACGCGTTATTAGGGTGCGAGGGTGCAAGAAATACCCAATTCTGACTAACTTATAGTCATTAATCTTGCTGCCATAGCCAAACCCTTCAGCAAGAAGATTTATACACTGCTGGGGCCCTGTAACTTTCTTGAACTGTCTGGTAGCAGGATTCCACAAACCATAATGAAACATACAGCAACCAAAATAGATTTCCATGAATAACAAACCGCCACAGGAACCCTTAATACGTATACGTGGTTTGAGAGAATGATCCTTCATAGATGGTGGTATATGCACGACACGGAGAGTGGTAGGTTCATTGT